TTCAGTTTCCGTTGACAAGAATTACGCGAACAAATTATCTTTAACTTCCATGTTTGTTTAATATCTTGGTTATACTCCCTCCGTTTTATATTAAGTGTCATTGTAGAGAATTTTTTGTGTTACAAAATAAGTGTCGTTTTCGGTTTTCAATGTAAAATTTATTAATTTTATTATGTAATTTGTTTTTCTATTGGTTAAAATATGGTTAGGTGTATGGGTAATTGTGTTTTTATATAGGAAATATGTAAAATTAATTGTTTCATTAATCCGTGTGCATAGCTGTAGAGTGACACTTATATTGAAACAGAGGGAGTATTAAACAAACTGATCATCAATAGTGCATGAGTATAACCACGCGTTTGTGGTCGGGTGGTCAAGGCGTTCCGTGAATCTCTAAAGGGATCCGAGTTCGAATCCGCACCATACCAAATTTCCACGACGCTATTGGTCACCGAACTTTTACATTCTCTTTCCGGAGAATGATTTACCATTTTTTTTATAGTGCATGAGTAATGACGCTGAACAAGGTGACATGGCAGTCGTGCCATGTCGACCAGAAAAACAAACAAATTTTATGCCCTTTGCTAGATTTGCAGCCAAATAAATGATTGTAAAATTTATAACACGAATATTCTACTATTATCTAGGACCATATAAGCTGATATATATATATATCTACTCTATTAAAATAGAGTCCTAAATTTTAATTTTAGTTTTATTATCATTACATATAATTCAATTATATATAATTTTAATTTTAGTTTATAAATGAAAACTAAACTATTATAACCTCTAATTATATGTTACGATAATTAGTATTTTAATTAATAACTTTTCGAAAATGAATTCTGAAAAGATTTTTCAACGGAGTTTGTTAGATTTTTGCAAAAATATTCATTTGTATTTCAAATAAAAAAAATAAAGATACTGAAATATATTTTAATTAAATTAGCTAAAATTTCTTATAACTCTGACAAATAATTCAAACTAAAAACCAAAATAACAAAACACAAGCCAAACCCCAATTAATAAATAACCAAACTATTAATAGATTTTACGAATCGAAAACAAATATTCACAATAACTTGGAATCAAACTAAAAACTAATAAATACAATGTAGCACGAATCAAGTTTAAAAAATATCATCAATCATTTAACTGTAGTTTAAGTAAATTATGAAGAATCCCACGCGGATCAGACTCTAGTATATATTTAAAATCTGCAACGTGAAAATATTAGATATATCGATCGATGGATTTGGTCTCGCACGGTAAATATGTGATTTCATCTACAGTTTTTTTCTTTTGTCTCCAATTTTTTGTCATCTCATAACTCCATGGTACTACATAAGATCCTTGAGGTAGATTTTTGCCAATTTAGTACATTTTTTTCTTGACCAAAAAAAAAGAAGTACTTTTTCTTTCTTTCTTTGGGAAGAACACTCCAAAGACGTTGGTTTAAAATGTAATCGAGTTTTTAGTCGTTTTGTAGCAATTGCAGTTATATGAATGTTCTATCTAGCTTTATGAGATTGCTTTCGATTTCAATTGATAGTTTTTTAGTTAAACATGAGTAGCGTGTCTAGGCCCAAGTCCCACTGAGCATGCTCATGTGGACTGATACACCAGCGACAAACAAGTTTAATTGGTTGCTCTATATGAGGAGTAAGAGACCCACGTCTTCTAATCCTATATGGAACTAGCAATTTTTACATTAGAGCGGAATCTATCATTGATCTGACCCAACATGGTCACCTCATCATTTTATAGTTTCTCCTCTGTCAGTAGGATTATGATGAAGTTTCATCATCTTATAATTTTGTTAACTAGCGTAATATGAGTTTAAGATCCACGAATTTTCTGTGAACAAATGTGAAAAATCTGCAGAATCACTACATATCTAGAAGAAATGGAAAGTAATCATACTTTGGTTGAGCTCCAACGATTATTATATATTCGCTTTCATAATAATTAACGTACATATTCTGAATATAATCCTTCATTCAGAATACTTGCGATTAAAGACAAATCGATGATTATATATTCGCTTTCATATTAAGTTCACGTGTGAATCAACTTTGAAGTTTTCGTGATGTATTATAATTCTTCAGGAGCAAAAAAGCATCTGTGATGAATCCAACCAACAGAAGCGATGAAGTAAGCACAGTCGTCTGAAAACGTAAAAAGGACCGATTACGTTCTAGAGCAGCAAAGGTTGCCACATGGTTTGTTATTGTAGAATACTTGAGAGTTGAGATTATAAGTTTAAAGTATTACGATTCCCTTAATTATGAAGTACTTATCTTATGTACACAGTATGTCATTCCCTAATAAATATATTTTCGTGTCTTGCATTTCTGTAACAAAAACAAGTGTTTTGCGTTTGCATGCAAAGACATAGCTAAAATAAACATAATTCAAATTAAATAATAGTTACAAAACATTACAAATTTATAAATATAGTTGTGAATGCAACTTTTTTTCCTTGCTCATCTTACAAACATCTAATTTGCAAATATGTGACAGCAAGAAACAGCTATACTGAAATGAAAATAAGTGATTGGTCTGAAATTCAGAAAACAAAAATAGTTGTAAGGGATATATTATCCCGATACATGACTGGATTGATAAACTATATGCTTAACTTAAAATTATTGGTTCCTTTTATATATGTTTCTGTGCGGCAAGATGAGAATTCCATCGGTCTTTGTCTACCAGATGTTCGAGACTACACGAAACATCGTCGACAAGGAGAATCTAGTCTCATGGGTTTCTTTTATTCCACAAAATAAGTTTTCACACAAATTAAGAAATTAGCGAAAATATATACTTATAAGATATTACTAGATCATAACTCGCCCGACTGGGCGGGTCTTTGTTTTAATGGTATATATAACATTTCAAAATTATAATTTAATGGTGACAATTTTACTAAGTAATAGTATATTATTTAAATATTGTATTTCATTATTGTATTGTGTAACAGGGGCGTCTTAAAATATTGTGGCCCGTAAATATTTTAGTAATATTTTAAAAAGTTTTTTGACTAAATTTGGTGTAAAGTTATATACACTAAATAATTTAGTCAAATTTTTAATTTATTTTTTTAATGAAGAATTGGAAGGCTAGTATATCACTGTTAAAAACTTATAAGAATAGTCAATATAAATTATATAAAATATATATTATTCTTGATTTATTCTAAATACATTTAAAACATGAATACATATATATATAAATAATTTTTAGAAGTAAAGTAATATCAATGATAGAAAATCAAAAAAAAAAAATAATGGTACCTTGGGCCGCAGTAATATTTAGTATAATAAATAAGCCCATTAAATTTGTATGATATCCATATTTCCAATCAAAATTTTAAAATTTTCTTATTCATATTTCCAAACACTTTATTTTTGTACTTCAACTTTAATAATATAGATATATTAATTATACCTCTTTGACTAATAGTATTTAAGATAAATAAAATTATTTATAAAATAATGCATATTTCAATTAATTTTCAGTTGAAAGTAAATATAATTTGCATTAGAATTGTAAAATAACATTTTTACAACAAAATAAAAAATAAAATAACACTTACTATGAAATAAATAGATATATTATTTCATCGTAAAAGTTAAAAACAGTTTTTATTCTTTCATTAATTACTACTCCAACCTTAAACAAACGTGGTTCTAGTAGTTGTTGAAACCAAAATTATCCAAAACTGAGCTGACCCACGGCCGATAACTTTTGATGTTGAAAATGCATGCATGTGAACAAAAAACTCTTACAACTATTAAGTAAATTAATCAAAGATTAACACGAACAATTCTTTTTAAATTAGGAGTACTAATCTTTTGATTAACCTTTGTTATGTATGCATGAATCGATCAGTTCTTGCCTACGGAAAAAGATATATTTTATTACATCTAGAAACCCCTGATAGATTGGATTGCGCAGCCTAAGGAGATGTTATTTCTTAGGTTATTTGTTTAATTTTTCACCTCAGCTGCCATCACTGAACCACACGATCATACCGTTGACTGGTGGTTTATAATATAACTAACGGTTTAAAATCGATGAAACACACAGATATACATACACTCTTCCGCATCTGACTATACTATTAAAAGAA